AAATATAGTGGTAGAGCTGTTACAATTGCATTGGATTAATTAATTATATCGATATATATCGGTTCAATGATCAGTTACACATGTTAAGTAACTCAGTTACTTCGATTGCTGCAGTTTGAGCGTTGCTTTATTATATCGATAAATATCGATTCTGTGCTTTTTACATTGTGAACTTATTGAAAACGGGAAATCAGCGTAAATTGGTTTTACTTATTATTTCAGTTCTATTTGAATAATATTTTTCATTGTTTGCCTATTTTACAGGATATCTTCTGGCTGGTAAACATCATTTATGGAAATGCTGCTCATTTCCATTAGGTCCCCACGTTTCAGTTATTATTTATTCTTCTACTTTTACTGCTCCTCCTTCTATGCTTTGCATTCTGTTTTTGTTTTCAGTTTCTTTTTTTGATTAATCATCATGCACACCTCCGCCTGGAATTTCTCAATCAAGGCGCTGCATTGTCAATGGTTGTCTGCAGACTTGTGAGCATTTCCGTGTTTTGATTAGCTCCCTGACTGAGAGTCTGATTGAAGTAAACCTCAGCTAGGAAAACGACTCTCATCATGCCTTCGAACAAAACATAAACAATGCATTTTTTCAAGTGCTTTGTATATGAGATTGAAATAGAATGCAATGCACAATTGAGACCCGAGACAGTGAGAGAATATTAGAGAGCTTGTCGAAGGCATCGATGATGGTAACGATTATTATTATTCGAATATCTAATCTTTATTAATATATTAGCACTACAGAAAGACCAACAACTTTTAATAATCTTAAATTTTGGGACATTCCGAATATTGCCGGTAATAATTCTTTCCACAAGCCAATATAAGAGCTATAATATTTTGACCATTGCTAGCCATAAAATGGAGCACAGTTAGTGCAAGTTACCCAAAGTGCTAAGCTTTAATTTCCTGGCTAGTCAACCACTTCCCCCGCGATGGTTTTTCTGGTGACTAATCCGCCGGCAATTGTCTACCCGCTGTAGTCGGAATCCACCCTGCCGGACGGATACAGTCATAAATAATCGTGGCCATGCCTTCCTTTATAGCGAATACACCCCAAAGAACTTCATTTATATACACATATATTGTTTCAGTTGCACTTCTTCGCATGTGTCACGCATTCATTTGGCCATAATCCAGGCGAATGAGAAACTAGTTGGCTGCAGCAACCCTTAGCAATTATTGAGCCGCTTTGTGGCACGTGCCGCAGTCAAAAGTTAGACCTGAGTCTTGAGTGCAACAATTATATAACAATGGCCGCAACAAAAATCAGATTACTTTTATTGATTTCGTAATGCAAGAGCCGTGATAATTTGCGCTGGCAACAATGTCGCCTACACAAGCAACACCTACGCGCCCTGGAAACACCCATACATATACACAAGGGGCCTGCCACACCGAACTGCATCTGGCCATGACTCCTGCAACGGCTAGGCTGCTCATGTGGCAAGCTTGGACTTATATTAATACGAAGCAGCTCACACAGCCACTCGAGCCGCCGTTCATTAATATGCGTCATTGTTTTTGTGGTCCCGGCCTGGTACGCCCGGTCGTGGGAGCCCAAACAACTTGAGCTGAGCGCATTTACTGACACGTTGTCTGCCACCTTAAATGCAATTTGTACCTACAGTGATCACTCGGCAATCGGACAGAAGGGACAACAATTTAGATAAATATTTTGATTTTCATTTTTTTTTTGTATAGATTGCATTCACTGAGAAAAAACTCGATAGACAACTTCTTGACTTCGTGAGATATTTAAAAAGCGTTTCTATCTAAGCGATTCCTTGTTGGAATCTACAAAATATCAATAGTTCTTCCTGATAACTTCTTAACTAAGTATAGCTCTTGTTAGTGCATGAGTATAAATGATCCTATATATAAGACAAAGATATACATATATATACATTTTCTCAATTTGAATATTCTTCAAAATTGAAGAGTTACATTTATCATTAGACAACTGTAGAACAAGATAACGACACATCTATGCTTACACTCTAGTAATTTGATTCATCGACTCGAGTGGCCAGCCTCAACAGCAAAATAAACCCCATTATCATCAGCATCATCATCATCATCATCATTATACGTCGTCTTCGTCTTGGGTTAATTGAAAATCAACTCAATTTACGGCTGTAACATTTACATTTACACTCACATTCACATTCACATTTACATTTACGCACAGCTCTTGAGCACGGCTAGCTTCAAGCTTGACTTGATTGAGTCAGGTCAAAAGAATTTAAATGGACACACGCACTCTGGGGCAATATCTTGGCGAGCCGCACTCAAACGGAAGCCTGAGCATGCATATTCCAACGTGATCCAACTTCACTCGGCCTCCTCAGCCCATTCGTTGGCATTTGCATAAATTGCGTCTTTCAAGTGGATTTCGAGCGTTGGTCACCCCAGGAGAACGTGCCTAAGCCGAGCTTCGTCCAACCTAAACTCAATTGAGATCGTAACAACTTGTATTCTACGTTCGTAATTAGACAGACGACAGCTAATTAGAATTGAAAGCAAAACACGAATACAAAAGATGTTCAGATGCACGGAAGATAAAAGAGCTCAAGGAAATGGACAATTTGCTAAATTTTCTACTGCCAGACGGGAAGAAGTTCAATAACTTGGATGACAACAGAACTAAATTTGACTTATAGGAAATTATCTTGATTATTTTTAGATATATGTGAACTAGGCATAATATTGATAGATATGTACCATATATGAGTATTACAATGATGCTTTCGTACATTTTATATATATGTCGATCTTTGCTTTTAGATACTATATCATATTGACATCAAATTGAGGGGTTTTATATCTTCTTTGTTTTTTTTAGATACTTCCTTGAAGGTTATTTTTGCTCCGATTATAAATAAATTATTTCGAAGTATAGACAAAGCTTTTCCATTACATTAAGAATCAACAGTTCATTTCTATTCCTACTTTGTCAGAGCATTGCATCTTCGATCTTCCCCAGCTGATAGGCATTCTATATATTTTTGCAATTATTTAGCAGGTAATTGGCCTCATGTATTAAATGTGCGTTCCAAACTTGTTGCTATCCACTTATATGTAATTACCATTACCTCACTGACAGCTTGATTGTGTCATTGTTGTATATAAAAAAATAATAATAAAAAATAAAAAAAATAAATAAATAAATAAGAAAGAAAAACAGCAACAAACAAAAATGGCAACAGCTAAGCTGGCAACGTGTTACCCACACACAGACTTGGCCACGAGTCGCTTTAAAGTTGGCCAAAATGAATGTGCAAAAGCAGCGCTGACCTTATGAGGGCCACCATATTAGGCATACGATTCTATATAACCGATATAGGCACAAACAAAAAAAGATAGGTACAGTGGTCGCAAAATGCAATCAAGAAAAATACAACAAAATTAAAAGAAAGTTAAGGCATTTAATTTGTGCAAAAAAAAAAAAAAAAGAAAAAGAGAAGTATATCAAGATAAATGGCAAACAATGAGAGTAAAAGTAGCACGCAAATACACCAGAATATATATAAGTATATGTGCATATATGTAATCGATTTTTTGCTGTTTGGCCGCAGACCTAAACATAAAAGTCGGCTACGTGAGTGAAGGTATTAAACAAAATTTACATTAAAAACTTTAACGGAAAACATGTGGAGAAACCCCATTTGGTAATGAAAAGAAAGAGAGGAGCACTCTAAACGCGTGAAGCTAGCGCCTGCATATCTGAGTTACTACGTGAGATTTTGATAAAGCTGCCGCTTTTGATAAAATCAACATTTAGGCACTAAACGGCAAGCACACACACACACACACACACACACACACACACACACACACACACACACACACACACACACACAATAGACAAAAGGTTGACAAAAAGAAAACTACTTTTGCTGATAACTGAAAAGTGAAACAAGTGCTCCAAGACACCAAGCCCCAGCCACAGTGGAGACGTTGACAAAGGCCAAGCGAGAGGAGACCTGAAGTTGCACGTGCAATGCTGACAAAGGGAAGACTTAACTATTATACTTGTGGTTAGCTTCGACAGTGCACGACTGCCAAATACTCTATGTATAATAATATATGTATATCTATGTATAATGTGAAACTTATAGTGCTTAGATTCATTGTAGTCTTAAACAAAAAAAAAAGGTAAAAATTCTGCATTAAGGTGTGAAATTTTAAGAGAAAAAACTTTGGCTTTATAATATGAAAGGTAAGCTTTGTATAAAAACTTTTTAAAGAACTATATTGAACTTATTTAATTTAATAATACAAAAAGGAAACCTTTTTGACAACTTTTTAGAGAATTTATGATAGAATTTTGAAGATATTATTATTAGTTTTTGGTATTTTCTGTATATTGCAAATTTATAAATAATAAAAAAATCAAACAAATTATAAAAATTTATATATCAAGTTAAATTATTTAATGAATTATTTAATTCTTGGCTATTTTTTACATTTATAATTTTCACAGTAAAACTCAAATTTGTGAATATTTAATTTGATTCCAGAATGAATCATGTCTTAACAATCCTCGCTCACTTTGTCTTATCAATCAGTAAACAAAACGAAGATCTACATGCGGAATCAGGTTTTACAAGCTCAAGGTTATTAAAAGCGCAACAAAGGTAGCTAGACAGACAGTGGTTAAACATATCGTGAGGAACATCTAAATGAGCATCTTAACAAATAATTGAGGCCATAAAAACTGATGTTGCTTTTACTTTTGTTTTTTTAAATTAACACCGATTCATGTGCCCAGTTAAAGTTTTCTTTGACAAGCAAAGTTTGCTCCACTGTGCGCAAGCTCTCTGAACTTGATTGCCAACTGGTTTTGTTGTTTTCTTTATTTTTCTTCTTTGTGCAAAACATTATTTAAATTAGATCTGTTCTGTTCGCATATTTTGCTCAGATACTGCCAGAGGGAAAGTCGATGGCTTAGGGGAAGTTCCTGTAGCTAGATGTAGCGCACTCACCTTTTGACTCCAAGCTGTCAGCTGTGACGACAGCGACGTGTTGCAAGCATATGTTGAGCAACAGCAACGGCAGCAGCAGCCGCAGCGGCCGTTGCAACTGTGAATGTAAATGGGAAAGCGACCGAGGCATTTTCCACACGTTGTCTTTAGAATCCAGAGCACTTGGAATAATTCTGTTATGCGGCTATGTCGTTGCTGCTCCTTTATTTGCAGAATGTCGGCGTTTATAGTAAAGTTTCTTCTTGTCGACTGCAGCGGCAGGCAAATGCGATGACATCACTTCCACTTCCTGTGTCAGCGGCTCGGGTGGTGGGGTGGTAAAGCCGTTCAGGAGATGGTCCTAAATGCTGCTGGCATCACTTGGCGCTGTGTCTGCTGCCAATTGGATATGAATTTCGAAATGAAAAAAGAAACAGGATGCAGCGCAGCAGTTCACAAACACTCGGCTACAACAACAACAATAATAACATCAGCAATAACTGCAAGCACTTGTGCATACGTACGCACACACTCTCACACACACACACAGTGTACGCACTCCCGGCGCGCTTAAGTGTAAACAAAAGCTGATACCTTTATTTGCATGTGGAACAAAAAAACATTTATAACGGCATTGATATTTGTGTTTCGGTGTGTATGTGTGTGTGGGTTTTGTCTTCGGTTGTTGTTGCTAGCTCTTTTTTGGCATTGGGTGTTTTTGATTGCGCGTATATTGTGCCTGATGTATAAAATATGTATTATTAAATTAATATATTTTGCTTATGCTAGCTTTTCAATTGTTTGTCGTTAATTCAATTTATTTAACACTATGTTGTTTTGCACAGGCAGTGACACTTATACATATACACACACTTGTATAGAAGCTCTAAACACTGTTACGCTTCGCGCTGACACAACAAATTAACGCGAAAATTTCCGCGCGAAGCACCCTACACGTCGAGAGTTATAATGAAACTGACGAAAGTCGCTGCAAAAGCATACGAAAAAACAAGAACAGCTAAGTCCAGGGCTGAAACGTATCGGTATATCGATATATAATGTTCAGCAATGTTTTTTGTTTCAGCGATATGAGCGATAAGAGTATATATCGAAATGGACAGACAGATGGACAGTAGCTTACGTGTATGAAACTAAAGGCATGCATCAGTTTGCTTTATGTCAATTGTGTTAAGCGGGATGTTTGACATCAAATATTTATTTTCTTTGAAAAATAAATTATTTTAAATAATTTTATATACATATTTAAATATTCGTGTGATTTGCAGACTCAACTCTTAAATTCGTTTTGTCACATCCTCCCTCTCTATTTCCTTAAAAGTATCCTATAGCCTTCATTTATAAATAAAAGAGATTCATGTAAATCTTATAAGTTTTTAATTCAATGAAACAATAGTGTAAAACAAACTAAAAATATTCTTATAAATATATAATTAAATACTTGCGTACATGACTTAAGTATAAGGTCGGCAAGGCTCTGTACATTACAATTAAATCTATTTCTTGCTACCCAGACGAACCTGAATCTGGTTCAGGCTCAGGCCCTTGGTCTCTATGACGATGAACATGACAAAGAAGAATGCTACTATGCAGAATCCGGAGAAGAGCCAGAATGCATAGTAGGAGCCAAGTGCATCAAGTGCCGGATAGTAGCGTGTGACCAGGAAGCCGAGAATCCAACAGGTGCTGGCCACCACAGAGGAGGCTGCGGACTTGATATTTGCCGGGAACATTTCACCAAGCACCGCCCATGGCAGTGGACCGAAGCCCGTGCAGTAGACAATGTTGTAGATGATCAGTGCCGGCACTGGCAGCCAGAGTACACTGGAGATATCGCCAACGACTAATTTCATGTAGAAGAAGCCGCCCAGGGCCGCCAGACCGATGCTCATCACACTGGCCGAGATGAGCAGCAGCAGTTTCCTGCCCATCCGATCCACGACGATGGGCGTCAAGCCGGATGAGGCCACCTGCACGCAGCCAATAATGATGGTGGCAATGGCAGGATCCAGTCCAGTGTTGGCGCTGGCAAAGATCGACTGGCTGTTGAAGAGCACCACATTGATGCCAGACAGCTGCTGGAAGCTGATGAGGCCGGCGCAAATGAGCAGCGCCTTGCGATTGCTGCCCACCTTGACCAGATCCAGCATGTTGCCCTTGTTGGCCATGGCCTCCTCAACATTGGCTTGTATCACGGCCATCTCGTCGTGCACGCCCTCCGCGCTCTGGCCACGTAGAAACTGCAGAGAGCGCACAGCGGCTGTCTTGCGTCCCTTGCCGGCCAAATAGTACGGACTCTCGGGCATGAAGAAGAACACCACATCCGCGATGATGGGCACCACCAAGCAGCCCCACTGCAGCGCCTGGTACGACACAAACGGCCCGATGGCGTAAGCATACAAAATGCCGCCTAAACAAAGGGGAAGAAGCAGCAGAAAGGGTTACTCAGGATCATTGTACGCCACATCCAAGTCTGGCTACTTACCAACAATGAAGAGCTGCATCAGTGAGCCGGTGGCACCGCGCACATTGTCTGTGGAGATCTCACCCACGTACATGGGCTGTGCGGTCATGACGAAGCCCACGCCGCAGCCCTGAATCACACGAGACAGATACAGGATCCAGACCTGGGAGCCCACTATGTTGAGCACGAAGGCGAGCACAAAGAAGAGGCTGCTGGAGAGTAGCACCCACTTGCGTCCGACCCGATCCGCCAGTGGTCCGGCGATGAAGGGCGCCACCAGGGCGCCAATTGCAATGAGCGAGGATATTAAGGCCTCTTCGTCAGACGTTATCGGCCTGTCCAGGGGCGAGTCCGAGGTATCGTTGCTCTTCAGTTTTGGTAAAATGGGCGAGGTCCAGCCCAGGCAGGTGCCCACCACAAAGGCGGACAAGTTGGCTAATAACCAGGGGAGATTCAATTTGAGCAATGTTGCAGCAATGATGTCAACAACTCACCTGCCACAGCAGCCAGAAAGATGCGACCCGTCTTCACTGGTTCCATGTTGCGGGAAAAGCTCTCGCTCATCTGGAAGGAGCTTACTTCTGCGTAAGACTGTTCACGTTTCTCTCCCAGCTGGTTGCTCATTGTTGGCATCTGGCTTGCTCACGTGTAGCAGCTGCAAGGGATCAAGAGTTCAGGCATTCAAATGAGATCGATGTCTGTCTAAAGAATGTCGAATAGGCTTTCACACATTCCTCTATTAAACACATTGCGCATACGCCGCGTATGCTCACAAATAAATGGTATTTATTTACGGAAGTCATTTCATTAATTTTTTTTCCACACTGTTATTTTTTTTGTAATTGTTTACGTTTTATATTCAAAAGTATTTAATTAACGTGTTTTCATTAAGCCAAACAAAACAAGCGAAAAAAGTTGATAATTTTTTTTTTTTTTTTTTTTTTTTCATATAAAAATACAATTGATGTGAAATCATTCGCTGAGCTTTGCTGCTTATAAAACTCTTAATGAGCCGTAGCCATAAATTAGAAAATCAGTTTAATTGCATTGTGGACAACGCTAATAATCATTATTATAATGATTATAATTATCTGTCCTACAATTGACACTTTCAATATAGACGAAAATTTTTTATATCTCTAATACTTTATATATATTTTATATACTTTGTTTATTATCAGTTCAAATTAAATCTTAAAGCCCGATTCACTTAATGCATAATTCTTACATTTAAATTTCAGATGAGTTCACTTGATATATATCGAATCGAAACGAAAACAAGATCTGCGATCCGCAAGCCTTAAAACTGAGACTCGAAATGCTGAAGCGCACAGCGAATCACATGAATTTAAAGGTTTTTGATTTCGTATTTTGGGGACCTGTATTAAAACCTTAAGTCAATATGAAATCAACGATGTGACTGTATGCGTGTGTGAGTGAGAGACAAATGTAAGAGCGCATTATCTTATCAGAAATCCCCATAGTGCGATGGCACATCCATCTAGTACTCAATCATCGTTACGTTTGTATGTTCGATTTCTGTTCAGCTCTGCTCTGTGCTCGGATCGATGCAACCAACTGCAACTACTGACACTACTGGAAATTGACATTTTGAACACACAATTCTGGGCTGTTGCGCCACTTGTGTGCATTTGCACTTGAACCGACCCAGGCGATAAGGCAACGATTCTCATCCAATCTCAATTTGTTTGCTTAGCTCGACCCACTTCAGGCTTAAGTCGCCAGTTCGATGAGAGCACCTGTATGTGCATACATACGTATGTATATAGGTAAGCACATACATACATATACCTGCATATACCTGCATATAAAAATCATGGGTCTAATAGGAATCAATCCACGTAATTTTTTAGTAATTTCCGTTAATTGTTTACGCTGCACTCGCCGGTAAAATTCGTCGAAAAAATAACACAAAAACAAAAAATAATAATATTTACCTTTATATTGTCATCAAAAACACTCAATTCATTTATGTAACCAACGTACGTGCATAGATAGTTAGGGACTATCTGTAGATATGTGTACAGATTATTTAACTAGTTACATATCAAAGAAAATTTTCCAAGTCAAGATTTACCTAATTGGAATTTGATTTTGAATAGAGAAGAGTAGACGGACTTCGCGTAGGTGGAGTCATTAAATATATAGAAATTAATATTTACATCATGTAGATATATCCCTTTAAGCATATATCAACATCAAGCTTATCTCAATTTTTCCCGGATTTTCAGCCTTGATCTACTCCACACTTTAAGTAGTTTGAAGGGTTTCATAAGCTCTACTTCATTGTTATAATAGTTGGCATTCTAGTGCTACAGTTGTAGATTGTGCCTATATAGTATTGAAGCTGAAGCTCTATAGTAATCCAATCTAACAAAAAAATATTTACATATATGTATATATATATCTACATTTCTGTAGACGTTAACACTTTGCTTTAGGACAATGGGCGAATTGGGATTAGTCTACTGACTTGGCATTACTTAGTCATAATGATGTCTAAGTCGTCATTTCAATCAGCTATTGTCGGGTCAAGGCCAAGTCTAACAATTACCATGCTTTTGGTGCAAATTCTTTTCATTTGAATACAGAGTTAAGCGCATTCTCATGCCCTTGCTTAAAATAATAATAGAACTAATACTTAAACTACTCATTAAAAGTGTCAATAGTGAATCACAACATTTATATTACTACAACTTTTCATCAGGCGTTTGCCACATAGGAATTAAATATTTTTGGGGAATGTTTTCAGTTGTCATTCTTAAACTGCTGTACTATGGATAGAGTGAAATGGAAACTCATACGAAGTATAAGTTAAGTTCGAGTAAAATAAACTGTTTGGGTCTAGATGAATTCCACCATCTGTCCATTGTCCTATTTAACGCTTAAAATAGTACAAAGTTGATTCATTTCATACAAGTACAGCTGAAACTGTTGATATTGAGAGATTTAAGGAAGAGTAAGTAAGTAATAACAATTTACTATCCCATGAAAATATGTATATTCTACATACCTAGTACTAGAGTATCTGCTAGTCGCCTCATTGTTAAATGATTTATAACAGCCCGGCAGATATACAATTAACCCTAAATTATGTGATAGACTCAACATCATTACATTATTTATAACAGACATCTACACAAATATACTATATGGCTATATCATATCAGCTGTGCCACATTGACACAAATTGGGAATCAAGTAGTCGTCAAAACTTCATGATTAGCTGCCAGCATATGGGCCGCTCTCGTGCAATTCCCTCGCATGTAACGCGAAATTCGGCTTTAATCAATAATGTCTGTAGACATTCATTGATAAAATTCAATATATACCAATATAGCAGACGGCGGCAGACAAAACATGAAACATGTACTTGTATTTATTATATATGTATGCACATATGTGTATAGAGGTCAGAATTTGTGTAGATAAAGTCAAGTGCTGCGTTTGGGTGACTTTCGAATAACATTTAATATGCGAATGTGACGTCATAAGCTGCAAAGGCTTTAAGAGAATGTTGCAGATGTGGAAATCAGTGGAATTTATAATTATTTAACATATTTTTCATACAAAAGCTAAAAGGATAAAAAAAGGATAAATTTGATTTTTAAATTAAAATAAAATTGTTTTATGTTATTATTATTATTTTCATTTACTTTAACAAATACATTATAAATTTGCTAATTTAAAAGCAAACTTGATTTGTTTTTTTATAATTATTTTGTAGTTATTTTTTTTTAAATTTTTTTTTTTTATAGTTGTAAAGCTGTTTATTTAAGTAATTTTATTATTTATTTCCTTATGACAAACATTCACTTTATACTCACAAAATTATAACAATCTCTAGGATTCAAAGGATATCTGATCCTTAACAAAATAAATATGGAGCACTAAAAAATTATACTCTGAAATTGTGGAGCCACTAAATCGAAGACCATCGGCTACGACGTCAAATGAAAACTGTTGACCATGTTGAGCACTTGATCATGGCCCAAATGAAAATTGAAGTCCCCATACTCAAGGAGAACTTGTCGATTACCGTGTAGACCGATAATAATGATTGGAGGGTCTATCGTAACATTTTGTTTTTTTTTTTTTTTTAACCGACAAACTCACATAGAAAATAATTTCTACCAGTTAAAGTAGTTCAATGCAATCGACCAGCACTCAAATAATAAACAAATAATAGTTGATCCTCTCCGACTGCCAAATAGTTGGTCACGGTAAATTTGAGAAGAAAATGATAGTCCATAGAGAGCAGCTTATATCATTTATGTATATATCTTGTATGATGCTAGCTATAAAACTATTTAAATTGATTCCATGATCTTCGATCTGTCACTTCCCCAATGGACGTTTTCATAACATTCACACTTTTATCTGGTAGTAATATTTTAAGTTCCGTGTCTCTTGTTTATAATAGCATTTGTACTCTGAAGCGTAAGTAGTAACTATAGCCAAGGCATAAATCAGAAAAGAATATTATATGATAAGGCTATATTATAGTATTATAATATACTTATATACATATAGTCTGCTTACTGTCCACACCAGCATACACACATTTCGCATTAATTTATATGTTATATGATAACTGTTCTCATAGTTTACTCACCCATTTTGCCAAACATTATTTAACGCACGACACAAAACAATAATATTTTTAATATTTACGTTGTTTTTATTTTAAATTTATTTAACTTATTGATAGCTCGAGAGCTTAGTTTTCTTTGTATCGTCCACTTAAGATCGTAGAGAACCGTTGTCAGTCGTTGTCAGGAACCGAATGCCAGCTTTGCGACGATTTTGTGGGTTCACTTTATATTCAAAATATATTGAGCCGAGAATTTATGACAGAGGCACATTCGCAGTTCGGGTTTAGTTGTAGCCAGTGCGAGTAAGATAATAAGCACAAATCAACCATGTACGATCGCTATGGAGAGTGCATGTACATGCACATATATTGACACACACACATACACATAGAGAGAGAGTATAATAACTATTAAGCATATATTATATCGTATTATCGTCGGGCTGGACGATCGTTGAACCGAGCTGCGCTTTTAAATGATTCTACTTTTTTATCACACTGCCGTGGAATAGTCTGCCCAGCGAATTGTCATTACAAAAAAAAAAAAATCTAGTTACTTCTAATGCCAAATTATAATCGTATAGATAAACGAGAATTTGAAACTGTTTCGGAATTTTAATTTATGTTCTATAGTTAGATTTAGTTCCGTACACTTTGTTGCAAGCATTTTTTATTTATTTTACGGCAAGCCAAAGTAAATAAACTAATAATGAAATTCCGAAAAAAGTGGGTGCACAACTAAATACCCTCTACAGATATTTAATTTAAATTTGATTGTGATTTTTCTTTATATTTGATAACATATAATTGAGCTGAAGAGCTGAGATACTAATATATAAGTGTTTTCTTTAATATATTTATATATTATAGCCCGATATGTATGGTATATGATAAGCCTGTCTTGAATAAGCAACTGCAAAGTTATGACATCTCTATGATAAATTGCCGGCTCCGTCAACGACAATGCTCAACAATTTCTTCTAAAACTTTCCGTATGATTCTAAGATTATTTAATCACAGAAAATATGATAAGCAGACAAGCTAGAACAGTTGATTCATATTAATCATACACTATATATTCTCGAGGAGATCTGTAGAATTTGCATTTATTTAACGATAAAAAGGAATTATCATGATATAACAATATGATGATATTTGTTACATATACTAGAATAAGATTCAGACACTCTATGATACATACATAATTATTACTTCCTGAAACTGTTTAGATTACATTTTTATATCCGGTAGGCACATCAACTGTTTATCATGATCTTTGTTACGCAAGGTATGAGCTTCCATGATATCATGGCAACGTTACAACGAACAAATAAAGAGTCATATCATAGCTATATCTCTAAAATTGATACAGATCAGGCCCGTCTAGATACTCCAAGTCTCAGTCTACACGTAACGAAAAACATATTAAAATTTGGATACCCTCTTCGGGGCATGGGAAACAGTGTAACCAAACGGCTTAAGGAAGTTAATTGATATGCAGCGTACAATTTGCTAGGGGGGATTGACTTATTTAGTCGACGTTGCGCTACAGTTAAATTTCTCAACGAGACTCGTACGGATTTTAAGTATTATAAACGTGCGTGCCGACTAATTAAAATGACACCGATGTGGGCAATCAGTATGTTTCATTTGTTGAGCTTCTATAAATGGAAATTTATGTGCGTCATCACAGAGACGAGTGATTCCTGCCGGAATCGGCTAAAGCACAGAATAAATAATTTAATGCAATCGATTGTAAACATAGACTTATATATGCACGCATATAGATTTTTTCAAGAGGCTCGCTTAGTTATTGTATTTTAGTATACATTTTTGGAAAGGAAGACATTCGCACCTGACGCGTGGAACGTTTGGTTTTTTTGGGATTATAAACTGGTTTTTCCAACTCAGTGGGGTATGATGCTGCGTTGTTGATCAATTAAACTTTACTTTGTTTTGAATGCAGTACATTAACTCAGTTAAAAATGATTAATTAGAGTAAAGCAACCGCACCAAAGAGCTGATGCGTTTTTATACATATAATTTGGCTTCATAAGAAAGACAACATTAATTTTAAAAAATTATAATAAATTGAATCTTATAGAATCATTTTTAATGTTATCAAGCTGCATTCGCCAAGGGTTTTCACAAATTCTTGGTAAATCAGGATTGGAGACTTTGTTTGTATTTTTGAGAATCGCATAGAACGCATATATGCAATTGTAGATTTACCAAATATGGATAATTTCTAGCGTCTACTTATAATTAATACAATATATTTA